AATCTGTGCTTTATACACAAGAAGAGTAAAGCTTTTTTTGCCCTGCCCCCTCCCCCCACCCAGTCCCTTTTTTGCTCCCTTTGGGGTCATATAACCTTCGTAGAGAATACATGTCCTAGTGGCATTAGAAAATGAACAGCATTTTCAAGCCACAGCATTGCCTAAGCGTGAAAGGATCAGGCTTTGGAACTGGATAGACCTGAGATTGAATTCCTGCTCTGGCACTGACTAGCTGCATGTGTCACACTGGGCAAGTTACTTAACTTCTCTAAGTCTGTTTTAGAACTGAAATATGGTGACAGTAATTAAATGAGCATTTAGTATCAGACCTGTAATATGGTAACAGTTTAATAAATGTTAGTTATTAACTAACATTTCCAAATGAGTTTGCATTCCTTAACACTTTTCTTTTGTCATTTTATTATAAAAACAACACACACATGTTTTTAACATATGTAGTATGAAGGAAAAATAAGTTATCTAATTCCATCTCTCCCCTCTCCAGACCCAACCCCCCAGACTGTAAGGGAGACCCCACAGGAGGAAGAGCCTGTGGAGGTGCCTGGCTCAGTGGTCCAGAGCTCTCCCTGAGGGGCTCAAGGGGGAACCCTGGGGCTGGGGAGGCAGACAGAGGTCCTGGCAGACAGGTTCTCAGGGCAGCTATGCAGAGGCCACCACCAATGTCCAGCTACCTCTGAACACACTGGAGGAAGTTCCCCAAATGTCTGAAAGAAGTAGCCTGAAGACGTTTACCTTTCTCTAGGAGAGTGGTTCTCAAAATGTGGTCCCCCAGGGCTTCCCTGGTGGCGCAGTTGTTGAGAGTCCGCCTGCTGATGCAGGGGACACGGGTTCGTGCCCAGGTCCGTGAGCCTGCGCGTCCGGAGCCTGTGCTCCACAACGTGAGAGGCCACAACAGTGAGAGGCCCGCGTACCGAAAAAAAAAAAAAAAAAAATTGCGGTCCCTGGACTGGCAGCATCAGCGTTACTGGAGAATTTATTAAAGCTTCAAATATTTGGGCCCCCACCCAGATCCACTGAATCAGAAACTCTGGGTTTGGAGCCCAATTTGTATTTTAACAAGCCCTCCAGGTAATTCTGAGTTTGAGAACCATTGCTCTGGAACAAGTGTTCCCTCCCACAGCGTCTCCTGGAGGGCAGGATTGCAAAAGGTCTGCTAAGGGAGGGGCTGGCTGAATCCCTCCTAAGGAGAAACAGGGGTTGGAAGTTTAGAAGGCTTTGAGCCAGAAGCCAACTGTGAATGCTTGAACATTCCTCTGAGACTTCTATTGCGGCTGGATTCTGTTTAAAAGAAGCTGTTACTTAGACCTCAGTTTGGAGCTTGAACTGAACACAGTCACTGACAAATATATACAGGAGTGTGCCTGTGTGTTGAGAATCTTTTTCTGCAGAATGCTGTTTTCTTTCTACATGAAACTAGAATGTCAAGGCCATGCCAATGTGTGGTTTAGGCAGAGGGTACATTGTATGTTTTGGCCCAAAGTGTTCCATGAACCCAAGGTTAATTTTGTGCTGGTCAACCTGACCCGGTCAGAAGAATGTTCAAAGTTTATCTAATGTTAAGGTAGTTGAACCAATAATAGACTTTAGTTCCTCTGCTTTGTTGTTAAAAAGAAAAAAAAAATCAGTGGGATATAAGCTGCTTTCCTTCCACCAACCCTTAAACCTTGGGGCAGAGAGAGTGGTCCGTGAGGAATTAGGCCAGGGTACATATAACAGGAAACCCCAAATGGCAGTGGCTTATACACATAAGGGTTTTATTTTCTCACATCAAAGAAGTCTGGTGGTAGGCAGTTCAAGGTCCATGGTTATCAAGATTCAGTCTCCTGGGACTTCCCTGGTTGCGCAGTGGTTAAGAAAACACCTGCCAATGCAGGGGACAAGGGTTCACGCCCTGGTCCGGGAAGATCCCACATGCCGCAGAGCAGCTAAGCCCATGTGCTACAACTGAGCCTGTGCTCTGGAGCCCCCGAGCCACAGCTACTGAGCCCACGTGCCACAACTACTGAAGTCTGCGCTCCTAGAGCCCATGCTCCGCAACAAGAGAAGCCACCGCAATGAGAAGCCCGCGCACCGCAACGGAGAGTAGCCCCCACTCGCCGCAACTAGAGAAAGCCCGCGCACAGCAACAAGGACCCAATGCAGCCAAAAATAAATAAAATAAAATAAATAAATTTATATAAAAAAAGATTCAGGCTCCTTGTATATTTCTGCCCCGTCATCCTAGCTTGTGACTGCCATCCTCAGTGAAGGTCACCTCATTCCTAGAAAGCAGGACTGAGGAAGGGGGAAAGGAGGAGGAGAGGTAAAGAAGGGGAAAACAAAAGGGGGCCAGGGCTGCCTTCACTGTGCCTCCCAGGAAGCCCACACAGAACTGTCTCTTACATCTCATTGGCCAGAAAACTAGTTGCAAAGGCATCTGGGAAATGTAGTTTTATTTCCAAAGGCAATGATCCCAGCTGTAAATCAGAGTTCTGTTACTAAGTAGGAAAGTGGACTGGATAGTGCGGTAAGCAGATAATAGCTTGTGCCCTATGTGAGACTGCTTCTGTTGATGTACAGGATCTTCCAGGGGCTGAGGAAAGAGCACTTTATAAGGGCCGAGACTTGGCCACAGCCTTGAGATATTCTGAGACAAAATCCTGTTTCTCAGCTTCTTGCAGGAGGGTGGAGAGGGGGCTCCCGTGCTGAGCCGTGCTCCAGGACCATCTCCATCCATCCCCAAGGGGCAAGTGCAGGGTTTTGGCCTCTCCCTCTCCTCATTCCCTGACAGCTTTGTATGCGATGTTTGCGTGCCGCCTTCCTCCATTTACGTATCCTGGATCCTCACTCTTCTTCCTCTGTTTCTATTTGGCAAATGTAGAGACTGAGGCTCAGGGAATGTAAGCAACTTTCCTGGCTGCAGAGCCACATTTTAGAACCGGATGTCTCAGGGTCTCCTATGTCATGATGAGTGCCAACGACCTTCTTGTACTCCTTTTCTCTCCTAGCTGAGCCTGATCCCTTAGAAAAAGCTGGGCTGGGAGCTCTGCCAGGATTTCTGGGGAGCTTTAACGGAATAATGGTGCATCTGACAATAGGACAGTGTGTCTTCTTTTCGGAGGCGGTGGTGGAGAGGTTACAGTTAAATAAGTTCTTAGGGGGCAAAATGTTCGAGGGATCTGGATAGGGTAGATATAAGGGCAGAGGTGCTGAGAAACCTTTAGCTTTGGGGAGGGGCTGTCTGAGAGAGCCCTTCTGACAATACTACTGAAGGGTAAAGTCATCATCAGCCCTTTCCAGCCCTATGTGGGCATCCTCTCTGGATCCTTTCCTCACTGGAAGGACTCTCATCCCACAGTTTGCTGGAGAGTGGTTTGGGAGAAATTTGGAGCCAGGTGGAAACTCTTGATCATAACGATTTCAGTTCCTGGTGACTTGAGTCTTTGGGCCTGGATACTGCTCAGAGTTTGAGCAATCAAAGCCTTGGGGCTTGAGGGAGACTCAACAGAATTTGGCTTTAAATTTAGAACGTGTGACAATAGGGGAATGGTTAGATGAATTCAGGTATGAAAGACCGTGTGGTAATTAAAGAAAAATAGGGATATAGACATAAAAACATCTCTGAGATGTACTGTAAAGTGAAGGAAAGTTGTAGAATAAATTTAAACATACACTAATAAAGAGCCTTCTTCCAAATGCACATGCATGAAACTGTACCAAAAAGGTGCTTTGGGATTCCCAGAAACCAGTAAGTGCCCTGAGTCTCACAGCGTTGCTCTGAGTGTTAAATGAGATAATATACGAGTGTGCTTTGCAAAAGTTAAAGTGGGAGACACGTGTAAGGTAGAGGATATGAAACTATACTGTGCCATTCCATTCTTGCCCTTGCTACCAAACTGAATTTGGAATAAGGAAGAAAGGAGAAAACTGAGAGCTTGTTATAGGACAGACACTGTTCTCAGCCCTTCTCATGCATTGCTTGCATGCACTACAACCCTATGAAGCAGGTATTATTATCATCCCCACGTCACCTGAGGAACTAAAGAATTTTAAGGTAATTTCCACAGTCATTCAGCCAGCAAGTTGCAGTCGGAGCTTCAGAGTGCTGTCGTCAGTTGTGATAACATGTTGAAATACCTTATACCTATGTATGTTTTTACCATACGCTTCTTGCAGCAGTTTTGAGGAAGCCAAGATTTAAACCTCCAAGAATGAGTATGTGAAACTGATTCTAAACACTACTGAGTACTTACAGGCTTGTGCCAGGCAAAGGAATAACAGGAGCTAACATTTTCTGAGCATTTGCTGTGTGCAAGACACTCTTCTAAGTGCTTTACAAGTATTAATTTAATGCACACACTTTAGGTAGGAGGTACTATTACCCCAGTTTAACAGTTGAGAAAAGTGCTGCACAGAGGGTTTAAATAACTTGCCCAATGCAAAGATGTTTGAAATCTGGTCTCCACCCTCAGATCAATATGGGAGTAATAAATAATAAAACAGTGCAGTAAATGCTGCAATGTTATATTTACAAAGTTCTAAAGGCGCTCAGACAGGACCAATCCCTGCAAGGAGAAGATGTGACATTTTGTGTGGGATCCTGGAAGGTGGAAGTGAGCGAGATTAGAGCAGGGGTGACTGCACGTGGAAGGCCCTGGGACTGAATCAGTGAGGCCCCCAATCTAAAGTCCTGGGTCAGAACCGAGTCGGGTGCCTATTGCAGCGCCGGCAAAGAAACGTGGCACCCGCTGTTTGAGGCTACTCTCCTGCAGATTCCCACCCCAGAAAACAGCACATCCCTGCGGGGGCGGGGCTCAGCTTCTGCTTCAGGCTCCTGCCGCAAGCAGCCCCGCCTCACCTTGGACCACGTGATCGGCAAGGGGCAAACTGCGCTCCTGATAGGCTGAAATGGTAAGGGACCGTCTTGGAACGTAGAGCGATGATTGGTGGATAGGATAAACATGTAAGGGGGCTATCAGGATTGGTTGCCGCCTTCTCCGCCGTGGGAGGGCCGGGCAGAGACGCTTCTCGTAGAGAATTTTTCGGGTTAAAATGTCTGGAGCCTTCTATTCTCGCTACAGACTCCTGTGGAGACTTCCCGCCAGGTGTGCGTCACTTTACATCTTTGGAAACCAGCTGTCTCTTAAGAAAATTATCCAGTCGTTCTCCACAGCTGTTCCCGCGGTGAGCGCTGCTCCGTCAGCGGAGCTTCTGATTGGCTGCTGTGGGATGGGGCGGGCTAGACAGGAGCCCGGCTTCCCGGCGTTCTCTCCAGTCCAGGGAGGACAGCGCTCCCAGGTGGTTTTCTGGCGCTATTGTCACCCGAAGTCCGCGCTTGGCTTGCTTGGCTCCCACAGCCAAAGCTTTTTGACCTAGAAAGAGAAAGACCTAGACTCGAACAGATAACCAGCTATGCTGGGTGAGAGTGTGGACTCTCAGGGCTGACTGCCTGTGCTCGGCTTCAGCGTTACACTTTAGTCAGTTTCCTTTCTTTCTTGCCTGGGTGTCATCTATAAAATAGGTATAATAATAATACCTACCTCAGGGGATTGCTGTGAAGTTTCAATTAATATGCTTAAGGTTCCCACAGTGCCAGGCACATAATAGGTGCATAATAGCTGGTGGAGATCTGTGAAAGAGTTATGTGGAGTTTGAAAGACCAGCCATTATTTCCCAGATTACTCTCTTTCTCTGTCTCTATCTCTGTCTGTGTCTCTCTCAGTTTCCACATCTGTAAATGGGACTAACAGCAGCACCTGCTTAATGAAATTGTGGATTAATTAAGATAATACTGGAAAAAATACCCAATATATAGTAGTCGGTAAATGTTGGCTTCTATTATGATTATCATTTAAATGTTACGATTACTGTTTCCATTCTTCCTCCCCCAGGCAAAAGGTCACTTCAGCCCGAGTTGGCCCCTCCGAAAGAGGAATAGTAGTTTACTTTGCCTGGAATTAAGAGTCTATAAATCTATGACATTCAAATGTTTGAAGACCAGACTTGGAAAATCGGTACACCCCTGTCCTGCCCATCATTTCCCTCACTATTTTAGGCACTGTCTTCTTAAGCCCCAGTTGATACCTGAGAAGAGCATAACATTATAATCATTAACTCCTGGGTGCAGGATTTGTTTATTGGACTATCTTTTACGTTGACCCTAGTGTTGAACAGTATTTTGAGGGCAGGGACCACAGAATGACATGTGCTGATGGCGTAAGATAAGGTGTCAGGGGTCTGAAGGACCTAAGTCAACATATGCTCTAGGGTGAGCCTGTGATTGGGACCAGGGATGGTGAAGTGTGTGGTGGTGGTTGGGTGCAGGGCAGCCTGGAATCCTTGTGAGTCATGGGAAGAGCACTGGACTCAAACTCCGAGATTTGAACTCTGGATACAACTTAATCTCTCTGGCTGTGACTTTGGACGAGGCACTTATATTTTCTGAGGATGAGTTTCGTAGTTAGTAAGATAAAAATGTATTCTCTTGATTGGTGCCTGGCACATAACAAGCAATCTATAAATACTAGTAATTGTTGTGGTTATTATTGTTATTAATTCATCTTCAAAAATATGTTGAGGATTATGGGAAAACACAGTCTATTAAGTTTTTATATACCAAGAATCATGGGTACCCGAGATCACCCAATGAGCAGTTGGGACTTTGGCCAGGGTAGTCCACTTTTCCTTTTCCAATTTCTACTTGTTATCTCCTCTCTTGTCTCTATTAAAAAAATCTATCTAGCAGGGGAAGTCACATAAGTGACCCAGTTTAATGAGGTCGTCATAATTCCTTGGATGCCTCCCTCCCCTGCTGTAAATCTGACCAGCTCCCATCATCTGCCCCAGATACCCCCTTCCCTTTTGGCCTATAAGATGGGGCTCTAGTTAGAGCTTAGGCCCTGTGCATGGTGACCTCCATGTACCTTGGCAGCCCCAGGACCCTGGAGGTCTTCTTGGGGTGAATGGCTTAGTAATGGGAAGCCCGAAGTTTGCGGTGGTACTGCTGGGAGCAGGTGTGATGGGGGTGGGTGGGTAGGACAGTTGACATCCTCTCCAGTCATCCTATTCTGCTCACTCTGGGGTGCTATATCTCTCCCATTCTGAAGATGTATGTAGAGCTATTTCTCAGTTAAAAATAAAATAGAGGAAAAATCTGGGGCTTTTGTGTTGGGCACAAAATTACATTTGAATCTAGTCCTTCACTGTGTGATCTCAGAGGAGTTGCTTATTTTCATAGTTTTCTTATTTATACAGTGAGAGATAATTGGAATACTACTAGCAGCAAAAAGGAATGAAGTATTGACAAATGGAGTAACATGGATGAATCTCAAGGTAATCATGCTGAGTGTAAGATGGCAGACAAAGAGTATACACTGTCTGGTCTTATTTATATAAAATTCTAGAAAATGCACACTAGTCTATAGCATCAGAAAGCAGCCCAGTGGTTGTCTGGGGACAGTGAACTGGAAACGGGTGGAGGGAGGATTACAAAGGGCACAAGGAAGCTTATGGAGATGGTGGTTTCACAGGTGTATACATATATCAAAACCTATTACATTGCATACTTTAACTAAGTGCAGTTTATTGTATGTCAGTTCCTCAATAAGCTTATCAGAATGGGGATAATAAAACCTACTCATAAATAGTTGTGATGTTTTAATGAAGAAAACATGCTAAAATGCCAGGAATTGCTAAAGCAATCAATAAAGGGCATTTTTATTCTCCCCCATTTTCACATATTTTAAAGAACAATATCAAAGCATTAGCTTTAGCGTCATATATTTATCTGACAAGGCCTATAAATGGGCACCAACACTTCAAGTAATACAGGGTACATTTTTTTCCTGCTGTTTTGGGGGTCATGGGTATATATATTATATAAGGATTAAATGAGACAATCATGAGAGGAACTTTGAGCAGTGCTGAGCATGTAGTAAACACTCAATATGTTTTGGGTTTTTTTGACTACTATTAATCATTATTACAGACTTGATGGATGGCACAGAGTGAGTGATCAGTAAATAATGGTGTAATTACAGTTATTTTGTTGCTGTATTGGACAGACAGGAAAGACTTGCTGAAAGATCAAGGAAGTTAATTTCAAAAAAGGGTTTGCCTTTCCTGAGACTCCTTGATGGGGTTAGATTTTTGTATTTGGTGACAAATCGTGACATGTACCATCTGGAAGAAATTTGGTTAATGCCCTTTTCAGGAATATAATAACTCATCATGACTGTTAATAAGATAATATTGCAAGTTTTTGATGTATTCACAGTGATCGGTGAGTTCAGGTGGGAATAAATGGTCCCTGGTCCTAACAAAGTGGTACTAAAATTTGGGAGACATATCTTAGTGTCAGACATAAGCAGCTCCTGAGAAACTTGTCAAAATGCAGATTTGTGAGGCCTACCCATAAAGATTCTGACTCGGTGATTGTAGGATGGGCTAGGAAGTTGGATTTTATTATGCATACCCAGTTGATTTTGATACAGGTATGCTGTAGACCATACTCCGTGAAGCACTCTCTAAGACATTTGAGACCTTGGACAGCGGTGATGCTAGCTCAAGATTTTCAGGACGCAGGACAGCTCCCAGCATCTCCAGCCCCGTACACAGTGGGAAATGAACTTCAATTCTCTATGGCAGCGGTCCCCAACCTTTTTGGCACCAGGGACCAGTTTCGTGGGAGACAATGTTCCCACGGACCGGGGGCGGGGGTGGTTCAGGTGGTAATGCGAGCGACGGGGAGCGGCAGACGAAGCTTTACTCGCTTGACCGCTGCTCACCTCCTGCTGTGTGGCCTGGTTCCTAACAGGCCGTGGGCCAGTACTGGCCCGTGGCCTGGGGGTTGAGGACCCCTGCTCTATGGGGCTTGCCCATTTTCCTAGAGAATTAAAAAGCCCAGGTCTCTAAAGACTGCACTTTGGGAAACGAAAAGTTCTGGTTCCTGGTAGCAAATAAGGAGAAGGGGTACCTGGTACACCCTGTAGTAGAAAATATTGTAAGTCCAGGGTGCTTAACTTGGGAACTTTGGGGCAGTTGGGGTACGGGTCCTCTCCAGAGGATCTGAGACCTTCCTGAGCTTGTATGCAAAATTGTGAGGAGGATTGTGGACATATATTTTAGTGGGTGGGGAAATGAACATGGTTTCCATTTGAGGATGGAAATATTCTGGATCAATGAATATTTGTACTTTTATGTACAATTTATGTACTTTGATAGACCTCTTAAAATTTGTGTGGGTGACTAGAGAATTTTATTTAAGTTCCTCCTGGTTATTCAAGTACCTAACAACTATCTCTATCACTTCAGCTATGACAACATCAATAAAAACAAGCATACGATCAATCCCTGAAGGCATCCAACTCTGACATTTCAAGTCATAACTTGAAGTACTCTCAAGTGTTGTGATGGAGGTCCATTAAAGTGGGTACAGAATTGGATAGATCTCATCTTGGCTAATCTGGAAACTTTACATTACTAAAATACTGTCTTATTATAGGCCACGGTTAATGTGGGAAATGAGGTTGTTGGGTGACGAAGGAGTTTTTTTTCTATGTATCATTTGATCTTTAAGTGTTCTTATCCTTGATGGGTTTACAAGTAGACAAGTCAGTGGTTATGGAGTGTTGAGTTAGCTAATATTTGCAGCAGGTCAGACTATTTCTATAGACAAGGTGATGGCTATTAACAAAATTTCACTTAAAATACATTCCCAAAGGCAACCTTTAATAGTAAGCAAACCACCCCACATTCATCATCTGTGGCCTGTCTGATGGTAGTCTGTAGCTTAATATTCTAATACATATAATATATGTAAAGAGAAAGTCATTCTCTCAAAGGTATAGCTGATTTGAATGATGTGTCCTGAAAGCTGTTTTTTGACTAGGAGAAGACTCTCTTGAGTCAGGGCCAATAAAACTTGAGCCACTCCCGTGGTAGAGAGGAGGGAGTGGAGCTATTAGTATGCTTCAGGAGACTAAGGGTATGCATTTGGGGGGCAGTTCGTGTCCATGACCCTGACCTTTTTCTTTCTGTGAGGAATAATGAGACAGAAATGATTGACTCAAGGCTCTTAGCAACTCAGCAAACCTTCTGAACTATCTGTGCTAATTTCAGAGTAGAGATAACCCAGATAGTTTCTTTTCTTGGCTTCTGTGACACCAGCTTCTCTTGTTTGATTC